GTTAAGCCCTTACTGCAACATTTATTAGATACTTGGTCTCAGGTTGGCATGCTTCATTTCAGGGACTGAAACCCAAGGAGCCATATTAGGACTGACTTTATTTATAAGCAAATTGAGGCATTTCTATCCATTGCTGCCCATCTGATAGTTCTCCTTAATCTCACATCATAAGAACACTTTCTCTATCTCCAACTCATTCATTTTAGAAATATTGTACCTCCCTTTTAAACATTGTACCTTATGTGTTTGAAAACTTGCTAAGCTTTTTTAATTATCAGTATATGTATATTTTATTGATTCCGAATGAAGTAGAGTGTAACATGATACATATTTATATTACAGTAGAACGAAAATGCACTAAGCACAGTAGGTATACAGACATTTAATAACACACTTAATTAGAAGAGGTGGTCTCTATTTTGGGCCCATATCCTTCTGTCCTGATTTTCTGTCCTAATGTCTATGTTTTCCAGGAGCACCATATTGTTGGTGTGTCTGAGTGTATAACAGAGCTCCACAGCAATAATACTCACAGTAATGTGGTGTCTTTAAACTACAATTAATATGTTTAGAAATCAGTCTGTGTAAATAAGATACATTGTTCTTGTTCTGAACTATATATTAGTTGCAAACATTGTTATTGCTAAGTCATCAAAAATGTCTCAGAACAGCCTAGCACTGGCAACGCTCACAACCCCTAAAAATAGTGCCCTGCTTTATCCATTTGAAATGTTGGAAGATATACAATACACGCTGTTATTCGGGACAAAGACACGTCTGATTTGTATTGTGAGATGTACAGGCCCTTCATTATTGTGGGGTTAATTGCTCACGAAAGTGAAAGTCTGTCACTTGTCAAATAAACACCAAAAATGATTAAAAATAGCTTTTGATACTATGCAATGTTTCTTATTGTATTACTTTCTCTGCTAACTTAAATAATGCTAACCTGGTTCATGTGTAAATATTTAAGGTCTGATGGCAAACTCAAGTGAATGTTAAAGTTTGCAATAGATCATTTGTAGAGAAGATACTGTATGTAGAATATCTAAATAGATATGCTTCAAATTGATTAAGTTTTCCATATTGTGATTCACAAGATCTATCTTAAATTAGAGGGGCAGAGGTTTAAAAATAATTTCTGGAAGTATTACTTTACAGCGATGATAGTTCGCGCATGGAATAGCCTTCCAGCTGAAGTGGTAGTGGTTAACACTGTGAGGGAGTTTAAGCATGCGTGGGATAGGCATAAAGCTATCCTAGCTGTAAGATAAGGCCAGTGACTAAAGAAAGTATTTTGAAAGTTGGGCGGACTAGATGGGACAATTGGTTCTAATCTGCCGTCATATTCTATGTTTCTTTCGTTAACCAGTTAGGATACAACTATGAAATGGTCATATCACATACAACACACATCTCTTACCCACAATACAGCACACTCCAGACCTGCAACTTTTACCCCTAACATTGCAGCCATAACATAAGAAGTACTTGCGTGACATGCAAACCGGATATAACACATACATGATGCCTATATGGCATATAGCACCCATACCAGTTAAGGCACCCACACATATGCATGTAATACCCCTCTCATACCCATATTATGTGTCAAACTCTGATATACACAGCCATGTGTCTAGCAGTGTTATTGGTATTCAAATAAGGCTTCATTCATTTACACTAATTTTATGGGGGTTTTTTTACTCAGCCATTTCTCCTCTAATTAATGGCTAACGGTAAGACAATGGTCAGTGCAAGGGATGTGTTTTTTATCCAGATTAAAAGTTAGGATCAGTTTGTATTTAAGCAAACTGTTAACCCATTGAGTATGTCCCATCCTTTGTTTTTAAAGGGACACTATTGGCACCCAAACCACTTAATCTCGTTGAAGTGGTCTGGGTGCAGTGTCCATGTTCCCATAGCCCTCGAATGTAAAACACTGCAGTTTTAGAGAAACTAATGTCTACACTGCAGTGTTAAGACTACTTCTATTGGCTGTCTCCCAGACAGCTACTGCAGACGCTTCCTGCTGTTTCAAGGAGTTTGACTTCATGAAATTACGCTGGACGTCCTTACGCTTTGCATGAGGACATCCAGAGTGTTTAAACACCCCATAGGAAAGCATTCAGTCAATGCTTTCCTATTGGGAAGGCCAATGTATTCGTGGTGCTCGCCATGCATGTTCATATGGTTCCTCCCATTAGCTCACATCTGCTGAAGAGGTGCTCGATCCAGCACAGTGAGACATCGGCGCTGGAATCAAGAAAGTGTTTAACCCCTTAAGGATACATGACATGTGTGACATGTCATGATTCCCTTTTATTCCAGAAGTTTGGTCCTTAAGGGGTTAAAGTTATTTTTTAACCCTTTACATGGCTGGGCAGGGGTATAGGGGCAGAGGGATTCAACTATAGTTTTAGGAATATGTTAGGAAGACATTAAAATTTAAATAGGAATTACAGTTCTAAGCAATTTGTAGCTTGCAAAGCAACTATATCAAAAGCAGTAAATAAGGAGAAGCATAAAATATTTGTCTTTGTGTTTATAGAGTTCTGTGTGTGACCTGGTGTAACCCTATCCATAAGATACTGCAGGCTCCCTCTCAGTCTCACCATTATCTTCTACAAGGCCCAAAGGGAGAATAATCTGCAGGGCCTCCCCATCCCCCTCATATCTACACCAACACATTCATAACTAGCTTCTTGTAAACATTTTATTAGACATACAAGCAGAGTTGCCCGTTCACATAAAAATAAGTAGCAATTCATCCATACACACTCATACAGAGTAGAATACCTCAGGTATGGCAGGTATTGCACCTGCTCTGGACGCAACTTGAAGGGGGCATCACCAGGGACATCGGGAGGGTGGCTGACCTGGTTCTACAAAATGACTTATTAGTTGCCCCATAGTCCCAAGGCTAGATGGGGACTTGGAGATTAAGTACTGTAACAGGCAGTTTAGCTCATACAGTCAGGAACATCTCATCTGATTCTTTGCTGGCAACGTGGGGACTGGCAACAGCACCAGTCACTAAGTGGGGGAGCCATGAGGACTGGGGTCAGTCTCCACTCTCCAGCCAGAGAATGCCATGCGGCCATTGCAGTAAGTCTAATTTTCACACTAGTGCATACACACAGCTAATCAAGGAATCCCCCTTTGGACAGATAGAAAAGGGGGGGCATGACTGCAGTCCACAGGCAGCTGAATGGGCTGGACAGAAAAATGGTTCCATTAAATACAAGGGGAGGATGGGATTTTCCTATGGATTTATTGCGGATTTGGTGAAGGGATCTTCAGTGGGGTAATGCTAGGGCCAGATATTCTCAGATTAGGTTTCCTTAATTGTATTATGGTCGCATTGGTTCTAATTCACACACTGGTCACAACGCTTTGGGTCATGCGCAGACTTATGATTTGACCCACGCTATTAAACATGACCTGGCTCGTTGTCGTGTGTTGTTCAAACAGCTGACCTTGGTTTGTTTTTCTCAAGTTTGCTGGCTTCAGAATTTGTTTGTAAAGCTGTGGCCATTGCCCTATCCAACTGAACAAGTGGTATCCTTGTTATTTGGACAGGGTGGCAGGTTTCAGTATGGTATGCGACGGTGGAGTCCAGGTTGGTCTGCAGTCAAGACTCTTGTTGTTTCACAGTCACGTGTTTAAGAGGAACCTGTGAAGAGGCTTGCTGGAAGTTTTGAGAAATCATTTGAGCACATAATAGACCAATTTGCCTCAGTGGAAGCAAGGACGGTGCAATTGTAAGTTTAATGTAGTGTCATCATTTCTTGAGTAAAAGATTAACAAGCTTGACTTGTGTTTTTTAGCCTTTTTTTAATTTTTACAATTATTTTATATTAAAGAAGAATATGTTATATTATGGTAAATATAGAATTCGGCTTGTCTTTTTGTAATTTGAGGTGTCCTATGGAAATAGGGGCCCAAAATGAATAATGTAAATATAATCCTAGACTTTTTGCCTCCACAATTTACAGTTGGAAATACGCAGTTGGGCAGGTTGTGTTCCCCAGGCATCCACTAGACCCACCTTAATTCATTAAATTAAGAGATGTTAAAGCAAGATTAATCAAGTTATAAATCACATTTTCACTGTTACAGAGTCTGTTGGGGGCATTTTTTTTTTAATTATTCTTTATTTTTGTTGTGCATGGGTATAGCAAAAGAGATGTAATATGTAAGAAAGGTGCAATGGGACAACATGTCATTACATAGAAGTGTATATAGAGGCCAGCAGATTTATAGGTAAAGGTAAGGTAAGAAAAAACAGTGTAGACGAAGTTAGATGTTGGGTCAGGGAGTAAGTATGCTTTGTGCACTGAGATTTATCTACATAATGAGGATAGTGAGAAAACAAGACAAAGTATTTCCCGCAGGTGGCCACTATAGTGGTAAAATGAGAATACAGAGGCACACAAGGCAAAAGCAGAGTGATAGCATGCAAAATAACATATAGCGAAACATATTGATTAATTCTCCCATCAACCTCTAACAGTGGGAAAGGTGAGTGAGCAGGAACTGTGGATGGGACAGTCCGTGGGCCCAAGTCACCCCATACTCTCGATGGACAGATCATAGTCCCACGTTAAGGAAGAATAGTGCAGGCTTCTGGATCCAGTTCCCTTGGTTCTGTATTCTTATGCTCTTCTTCAGCAGTAGACCGCATCACTGTCTGCCTCTGTGCCACCTTAGACAGGATTGGGAGACACTGCATGCTCTTGCGCTGATCTAATGCCTTCTTGACCACTGGTGTCGATCTCTGTTGGTGAGAGCGTCGTCCAGGTGAGTAAATGCTCGTCTGCATTGGGGCAAGATTGTGCTGTCTAATCTGGTCGCTAGATCTAGTGGAGCTGTGCTGGAGCTGTTGATGCTCGCAGTGTTCGCCATCTTGGATGAGGCACCGCGTGGTTCCACTGCCTGTGCAGCCTGCATCCGTCCACCAGCTGTTTCGGGGCCTGGTATGGGTGGACCCGGATCACCCTCGCCGGTCTGAGGGGGGGTAACAGGGCACATGTATGTTAGCTTCAGGGCGCCTCCGGAGTGGGAGATCGGTTACCTCTCCCATCCGAAGCGCATCAGGCCACATACTTCAGGTAAGGGTCAGTGAGGGCTTGTCGGGTCACTGATTGCCACACTGTATGCCCTCTGTCATGAGGGTCTGGTTGGTAGCTGATGCTGGTCAAAATCGAACATGGTAGCGTTATGAGAGACTGTGATGGTCAGGATTGTTTGGGAGTTCATGTAAAACAAGAATCTCCGCCATGATGGTCAGGCCCCCCTCGGGGGGGATTTTTCTCTCTACTCCAGTCAACACTTGCTTTCTACATGGAGACCATAGGTTAATAAGCTTAGCAGTTATAAAGTTCCTTAAACAATCCTTGGTCAATGCGGTTTCATAGAGAAGAGATATGTCCTATTACCTAATCCTTGACTGTTAGATCAAATTTAGGCATAACATACTATAGTAGAACAGTTCTGGTGTACCTAATATACCACACAGGAGAGAGGGAGACAGACTAGCACTAAGCTGCTCGAAAACTGGTAATGATAGGGATTCACTAAAAACCTATATAGAACAAGGGAAAAGAACTCTCTAGAAGAGTGGGAATACCAGGAGCTGGCTAGGTGACTAATGGCTAAAATACTAATACATAGAGATAAATATAAAAAAAAAAAAAGAAATATATAAATATAAAAATATATATATATGGTACTATGCCTTTAAATCTGAAATGGACAAAGTATCCCTATAAATGTGCAAAAATGTGAGTAAAAGTGCTATGAGTGGAGATCTCAAATAAACGGGATATCCCTTTAAATGTGCAATAATACAAAGAGAATGCTGCTATACCTTTAAATGTCCTTTAAGAGTGTGCAAACATGCAAAGCAGTGCTATATAGGGGGGGTGATAAATAAAAAAAATAAAAAAATATATATATGTATAGATTATAGGAAAGCATTAAGCTCAAAATCTACATTGAGTCCCTTAGGGTCCCTAAGGGACTCAATGTAGATTTTGAGCTTAATGCTTTCCTATAATCTATACATATATATTTTTTTTCACCTTTATTTATAGTCCCCCCCCTTTTTTTTTTTCATCTTTATTTATAGTTACAGACCACCACCAGGGATTATTTATTTATTATCTATTTTGTATATATTAACTATTATTTTTCTCCTGTTTTCTCCTAGAAGGAAGGATTCACACTATAACTATATGGTACCTATCTAGTATTGGTTATCCATATGTAGTCAATATACTATTATGATTTTATCCACCTATCTTCATGTATATATACCAATTTATGTCCAGCATTTCATTATCTCTAATTGATTCATTAAATATGTTCCTTCCATTTGGAACATTCATATATTGCTTTTATGTATTTTTACATTTACCGGTCTTATGTATCTGTCTACATTTTATGAGACTTTATAAATATTGTTTTTACCCTAGTGGCAATGATTTGCATTTTATGTATATGTATGTATCATTTTATGCAGGTACAAATACTGTTTTTATTAGTATAGAATATATTGGTTTTAACACCTAAATGTGATTGATAATTAGGCAATGTATATAAAGAAGAACTGAAGCACTAGACACTATTATGTCTCTGATGAAGTAGGGCCCATTCCCTACGAAACGCGTAAGACAGGCATTCCAGCAACACACGGGATCAGACGCATGTACCAGCAGCACCACTAATCTGCACACGCAGGACCTGTTTGGAAAGTACCGCCACCGGAGGCATCTGTCCTGCACGTCCCCTGAAGTGAGGCTCCTGCTCGGGACGTGCTCACAGACACAAGCCATCCTCACCGGCAGCTGTATATTGAATCATCACAATCCATATCCATCCTTAACAATCTGAAGGTCCTTGCTGTTATTTTTCAATGCTTCAGTCTGGTAATGCATTTCTGAATCTAGTGTGACCTGTATTTTTATATTTAACTTTTTCCAAAGTTATTTTATTATATTCAATAAACTGGCATTTTTTTTTTTTTTCTTATATGAAGTGATCCAGTTTTATGCTTCAGTTTTCCAGCGATATATTGTTTTCATTTTTATTGCCTAAAGCTAACAGTTCCTTGTACTGTATAGCTTATTTTTTACTTCTATCTTTTACTAAGTATATTATTTGCAACAGGTATCATTTATCCCTCATGTTGTTTGGGATATAGACACCAGTTTCATACATATTTTTTGGTCATCCAGCAGAGAATTTGGTCTCTCATCTTTCCCCTTTTTGCATTTTAGTATTTTATTTATATATATATATATATATATATATATATATATATATATATATATATATACACCTTATTTTTTTTATTTATTTATTTATTTATTTTTTTACCCCCCCTTATATAGCACTGCTTTGCATGTTTGCACACTCTTAAAGGACATTTAAAGGTATAGCAGCATTCTCTTTGTATTCTTGCACATTTAAAGGGATATCCCGTTTATTTGAGATCTCCACTCATAGCACTTTTACTCACATTTTTGCGCATTTATAGGGATACTTTGTCCATTTCAGATTTAAAGGCATAGTACCATATATATATATTTTTATATTTATATATTTCTTTTTTTTTTTTTATATTTATCTCTATGTATTAGTATTTTAGCCATTAGTCACCTAGCCAGCTCCTGGTATTCCCACTCTTCTAGAGAGTTCTTTTCCCCAGACTCCTTGATGAGACAGTTCACTTTTCCCCTGACGACGGCGTTCTAATACGCTGAAACACGTGTCGGGCTTCATTTGTTTTAACATTTTATTATGCACTCCTTCACTTGTTAGGTAGCACTTCACTTTGTTTTTGAGTTAACTTCTCTAGGGTCCTTGGTTCAGGTAGGCATTAGCTAAGTGCGGTGCCGAGGTATTAGGGACCGATGGATATATATTCTCTATGGGGTATGGTGGTTATGGTGGAAACCTAGCAGTGATTTTTTTTATAATCGTTTTGGGAGCCTTTCTGTTCCTCTTATATTCATTCTTTAATATCCTATTAGCTAATATCCAGGAGGGTTTTTTTTGAATGAGATACAGATTATCCCTCTGTGTTCCCCAATTACCCCTTACTAGGTTTTGCTTGGCAGTATGGTATCCCTCTTAAGTGGAACGCTTTACGTACCCCTTGTCTGCCTCATAGGGCTGATACCCCATTACCCGGTATGCAGACATTTGTTTCCTATTTAGGACCCTTTATTAGATATAGTAGCTGCACGACTTTAGAGTCAATAAAGGTTTTTTATTTTTTGTTGTTGCTACTACTCTATTTCAGGTTGTACTAATTCCCATACACCCATCTCCATTGGAGTGGACGTCTGGGATATTGTTATTTTTTTTCTATTTCTAGTAGTTAGGGTCACCCCCGTTATACTAGTACAACCAGGTGACCCCTCCTTACCTAGGGGATAGGGTTATAGGTCTACCCTAGCCTATGTCCTTTGGCTGGTGGAAGATCATTTGACCTATCTAAGGGTTAATATATTTTAAGCGGTTGCCTATTAATATATGTATGTATTGATAAGAAAAAAATGCACTATATATTTTTTTTTTTACTTTCTACACCAGCAAGGGGACTGCCTGTCAGTTCATGCAGTCCCCCTGCTGTGCACTGTGGACACCTATTGTGGCAATGTGACCGCTCTTTTAGTCCTACAGTGCAGAGGGGGGGACTGTCTGGGCTGAGGCTAGTCAGTCCCCCCTAAGAAGAAGACTGATCGCTGGCGAGAGAATGGCGGTAAGTACATGGGGAGAAGAGGGAGGAAGGGAGGGTTGGGGTTAAAATTTTTGTAACTTTAACTGAGTGCCTTGACCTCGAGGCCCTCAGTACAGACAGAGCATCGGAAGCCTGCCTGATGGCTAACGCTACTCTGCCTCACTGCCAGGCTCCACGTGGCCACCGGCAGTGAGAGGGGTATTGCAGCGATGAATCAACATCGAGGCATCACTGCAATACCATTAGAGCTGCTGGAAGTAATCATGGTACGTCCGCGTTCCTTAAGGACCGTTTTTTGTTGGAAGTACCTGACACAGCCATGGTCACTAGGGGTTAAACACCAACACTATACATTTCACTATAGCGCCAGTATTTGGCACAGCGCTGTACAACCTAGAAATTTTTTTTTACTTTGTTTGTTTTTCCTGTTATTCTAAATGTGTCAGAGAACTGGAGGTATTACTTTTCCTGACAGGACACAGAAAGTTATAATAAATGCTTAATGCCTTATAGAGGCTAAACATGTATCACTATAATGTCACAAAATCTCCAGCATTGGGGGGGCGGGGCCGGGCCGCAGAGCTGAGCGGTCGTAGGAGAGCTCAGCTCCTGCAAAATGAAACCTACAAAGCTTACAAAACGTGATTATGGGAGAAATTACTTGCCTGTAGCTGTTACTCACAAAGTGAATGGGCTTCCTGAGCTGAGGAAAGGCTTGCTCCCGGAGTTCTAGTCCCTCGGAGGGGAGATCCCTGCTGCGCCAGACGAGACCTCACCTGGCGGTGAGTGGAGTAGATGGCCGCTGCTCCACTATCCTGCCCGATGGAGCCCGACAAACACGTGGACCATCGGTGGACCCGGCCCCAGTCCCGATTTCCCCCCGACCAAGCCTCACAGCCACACTCGGAGGCAGTGACACGGCATCATGCAGGTCCAGAGCCCACGTTAAAGATGGCGGAGGCCATGCACGCAGGTACTGAAACGCAGAGCCAAAAAACGGATTACAGCTCTCACCTGGCCCAGCGTACAGGGCAACAAGCATCAACAGACCCACACCGGGCAGCAGTCCCCAAGTTCGGAGACATACCGGGCGCATGGCACATGTAACTCACCACCCACGTGGTTCATGAAGACAGGATGGCCACTCACCCTTCATCTGAGCTGGGCGCCCACAAGGAGGAACCCCTCCACAGCCTGCCATACCCTCAGGGAGAAGTAAGGTATCTGGCGGAACCCTGGGCCCACGATCCCGCTGATGGGATCAATGGCGACAGGGAACGAGCGCCTATTAAGGCCTCAGGCAAGTGGCTCCTGGACGCAGAGACACCACGACAGCGGAAACACCATGGAGGCCCACGCCAGTAGTGTCCAACGGAAGACCCGGCGGATGCGGGGACCCTGTGAACCCGGTCGGCAGGGAAAGCACATGGACTAACCTACAGCATTGGAATGGCATGGCACACCTACGAGTTAGACCGTATAGCTAAACGACACCTGCCTTCATCCTGCCACAATAAGACAGACTGGTGATTTTTGCAGCCCCTATGACGAACTGAGGAGGCTTGATCCCAGGTTACTCATGTCACCATGCATACTATGACTATCGTGTACTCTGGCTTGCCTGGCTGCTTGTCGAGCACTTGTGCAAATTCAGAATTCAGAGTGCTGTGTAGTGCTCTATCAGAAGTAACCTGAATGTTAGCTAAACAATTGAACCGATGGGCAGGCATTGCTGGTGATAACCTTAAAGATGTATATTTTGCATCTAGCGATGTGGGGAACCTAGCAAGGGGGTCAGACCATACACACATCTAGCACATTAGCTACTACAACTAGCTTGCGCTTAACATGACGTGACACACCTACTCGGCTCGCGGAGATATGCCCAATTGTTCTTGCGATCTCCATTAGTCCGCTCCCCTTAATCAACACGTGAGCGCTCAATGATAGAATGAAACGAGACAAAACTAGCCTATGACAATAGATGACATGCCGCAGCGACATTAACCGAGACAACGCGACTAGCGTGTTTACTGATATAACAATATATTAATATCCAAGCGAAGACCTTAGCCTGTCCTATAAATTGCTGGCTCAGACGTTTAAGACCGTCCATAGTCTTACGTTGTTTTCTCATTAAAGTGCCCAGTCAAGCATTGCATCCGAGCAAACGTGCATTGTTAGTGCATTACCATAACCACATATGGCGAGCTAATCAGACAAGGCGACATCTCATAAAACATAAAATGAAGCAGACATAAACGTGAATCTATGATATAAGCTATGAAAATTCGCTGATATATCATTCATCTGTTTCTTCTCTTCTGTAATGAACATAAAATGCTTCAAAAAAACAAAGATTTACAAAAAAAAATAAAAAATCTCCAACCTTGCATGATCAAGGAAAAATAAGCGCAAATTCAATTACACTATGCCCATATTAACACACTGCGCGGTTGCCTATAGTATTATTCTACTAAATGGCACAAAAAATATTACTATAACTGTATATAAACAAATAAGTTTTTGTTATCGGTATGTAAATAATGCAGACAGGTGTTATTTAATAAATATAATGCACGTAACCTCTACAAAAGGTCTTATTTACAATATTGTAATATTGTACAGCTAGCTTAAAATCACAATAGCCTAAACAATAATACCCATTCACATACTAGGACATCTTGAGAAGTTCATTGCTCTCTGGTTTCCAGACACCTCTTACAAGTTGTTCAAAATTGGAGATCAGACCTCCTCCAGCACCTGAAGACAAAAAAGGAGAGAAAAACGGATCTTCTGAATTATTATAAACAGAGTGTGTCAAAAAACAAACAAACAATCTCAGTAATCAATATAACAAGATAAGTATTGGCGTTTCAAAAGTGCCATTTTATGACTGAAGCAAATTTTAAAAGCACAATGCAGCCTCACAAATGAAATTGCAGTGTTAATGAACACAACTTTACACTGATAGCCAGGCTGTAGACATTTAAACAATTCAATCAAGTGTACCTTTAGTCTTTGCATTTTCATAAAATCTGTATGACCTTGATTTAATATTGTTAAATAGGATTTTCTAATTATTTCATATTTTTGGAGAAACATTTCAAATTATTATAAAAAAAGATTTTAATTTTGTAACTTTTTAAAGGGACAGTTTAGGCACCATAACAATTTCCTCTAAGTTCTTATTTTGCCTTATGGTGACAAGAAACCCCAAGAGGTTAAACCAATCCAAACTTGCATCCAGCACCGATCTCAACTCCCCCTCCGAGGCAGCATCCAGCTTCCAATCTTCAGTTTCAGGAAGCATGGGGTGCCGCAGGGAAGGAGCCCTTGATTGACTGAGAGAAGTCAGCTCGCGCTGTCAGCCAGTTGGTGAATCCCCATTTACAAAACTGGCTTCAAAAAAGTACTTTTCTTTCCAAGCCAGTTTTGTGAATGCCCACTGGTACCATAACAACTTCATTTAGATTAAGTCATTATTGTGCCTGGAGTGCTCTTCTAATATATTGAGATAGATAGAGATATATATATATATATATATATATATATATATATATATATATATATATATATATATATATATATATATATATATATATATATATTTATATATTTATATTATTTTTATTTTTTTGTAATGTTATATGTTGATTTAAAAAATCTTTTTAAAAGTTTATCCAAAGATATTAAATCTTTTGGAAAGCTTATCCAATACCATTAAATCTAGGCCCTAGTGCCCAGCTTACGGATCACATATAATTACAAACCACTAGTTATGAGGAGCAATAAGTGTCAGCAGTTTGTATGGTACAGTGAGAAATTTGTAGACATCCACAGATTTTCCATAGTACCTTTAGCCCAGCCGATTGTAATCATGACGAGCCAGGCATCCTGAAACCGGCTGTGTGCTTGTGTGACCCCCGATAATATCTTCCAAGTCCTGGTCACCTCCTTCAATGCAGCAACAATGACTCGGATCGGGCGGATGCATGAAAAATTATAGAACAGGTCAGATGGGAAATAATAAACCAAGTACCTAAAAATTGTACACAAAATAAAAGCAAAATAGATTATTAATATCATCATATAAAAAACACTTGGAGTTTAGTTGTGTCAGCAGGCAGGGACCACAGCTATTTATTGCACTCAAAGAAACAAAAAGAAGTATTCAAATGCAGACACTGATTGTACAATTTCACTGTCAAATATATAGAACACTTTAAAAAGGGGATATAAAAGTTCCATACACCTGGCAAACTATAATAAAATGGAAATAATACAATTTATTTTTTAAATAAAAACTAGTTTAGACAACTATTAGAAGATTTTGTACTTGTTTTCAATTGATGTGAACTGATATTGTTGTGTATTGTAGATTGTTGTGTAAAATGTTTTACTATTTCAATTGTAGCAGTTACTATGGCAACTAATATTTTCTGTTGTGTCTTTTGAACCTGCCACACACTTCAACATGTTTTCTATTAAATGCTATGTTTACAAATTACCAGCAGATGGTGCTAAAGCAACAAATAATGTGAACAAAAGCAGAAAATCCTAACAATTCACTGATATTTGATTTAAAAGACAATATAAAAAGGTGTATTTTTTTTTTTTCCATTCATTGATTTACAAATTACACTTCTAAAACGAATGGTAAAATTAGTGGGTTATTCCACGTCAAATATACAAATGCAGATTGCTTCATATTTTTTTTTTTTTTCTGCAAATTAGGTAGCAATTATTATCCTGTTTCCTGATTAAAACTCCAAATTTTCAAATGATTATTTTTTAATGATGTCACGAGGTACTTGCTCTTTACATGTTGCAACAGTGACAGACAATTCACATTTTCAGAACATTTCTGATTGGCATTAACTTTTGACTAAATGACCTATACAGTTCCAAATGGTGTCCTTGGAAAACATATTCCCTGTTCTTTTTAAGGGTTTATTTAAGTGATGTGATTCGTTGAGCATTTATAACTATGCCTGCCTTAATAAGACCTTTAAAATTCAGTAAAAGACAAGTAACAATTCTTTTTTTTTTTTCTTTAAATTTTAAAATATGAAGAATATTCTTTTCAAATATGTCAATGTGGGATCAAGTTTGAAAAACCAAAATATGTTGAAGTAGGCCGCTCTTTATATATCTTTTGATGGAAAACAAAATGCTTTGTTACTCCAAATGGTATAAAAGTTACATGGTTTAAAATATGGCGAAACCTGAATCAACACAGATGGTTTAAATGTTATAATTTAGTAGCTAAGTTTTAAATCTTGTTTTTAAGTCTTTTGAGTACCTGCTTCAGCTAAAGATCTAGATTGCAGAAACATTGAGACAAGCTCTGACTCATTTCTGCACTGACGTTACGTGTTCGCTGTAGCGGTTATGTGCTCCATTTGGGAGATTTGAGGATGGGCTTTTGTTGACAGCGTGAAGTTCTTGGCCCAATGAGGTGGAAGAATTTTATACTAAACTCATGGTCCAACTCAATTTTTTTTCAAGTTTGATTACAGACTGGGTTTCATACAAAAATGTTGATATCCGCAGGTAGGATTGATTAGCTACAGGTAAGTGAGAATGCAATAAAAAATAGGAAAGGTAAAAGCGCACACAGAGCAAGGAGGTCGTTACCTGACGTATTCTAGATAACTGGTAAGAAGTAACTCCTCCTTATATACAATAGGTATATACAATGTAGGGTTGCCTATATAGAAAATACAAACACAAGACAAAACATAGTGTGGTCTGTATATAAAACACAATAAAAAGGAAATTATGAGCTAAAATCACTCACACTTTGCTGAGCCGTTTAAAGTAGGCTCGGGACTCATGTAGCTTTATATGTCACTTAAGTGGGACATGCACATTCCTTCACTCTTCAGGCAAATCCTTCAATGATCTAAATAATCATCTGATGAAAAGTTGGAGTCAGGAGCCAGGAGAATCAGGATATATAAAAAGAATATTTATTTGTATAAAAACAAATATAAAAGGTATTGCACAACGCGTTTCAACCATCAGGTGGTCTTCCTCAGGTGCTGTTCAAAGCTACAATGAGCCTGCTGCTATATATATAGGGCATGGTATTGGGATAATAATTACAGACATTCCCTACACATGTAGCACTAATTAGGGTACAATCGCCTTATATGGTCCGAACCGGATGTGTTCTGCCACCTCCAATATGGCTCCACATCCGGTTCGGAAGTACACAATACTAGTACAATACATACTAAAATAATTCACAAAATATCACAAAACAAGTAAAATATATCAATATCCTCCCCACAACATAGTCAACCAGCACGATATGATCAAATCGTGGGTGACCTAATGTTTGGGGATGTTGTGAGTTTCGTCCGATAGGTCCGTCGCGTCACTTCCGGTGACGCGCATATTGATGGAATCAGTCCGTCGCGTCACTTCCGGTTTCGCTGGAAAGAGGATCGGCAATGTCCCTTCTCAATTTCCATGTTTGGAATGATGTTAATGTGCTGTAGGACTAAAGTAGCCATCTTTAAAGTGGGCAATCTGTCCATATCCTCCTCACAAATATATATATATCGAATACAAATATATTATATATAAAAGAGAGAAAAATAGGTAATCATTTCATAGAGCATACATTAATAACATAAAACATAATGAATGAAATTTAAAGTGCTATATAAACACTATAATGCCTAGATAAAGTGCAAGAAATATATAAAATGCTCTTAAAAATATAAAAAGCCTAAAAAAAATAGCCTTTGTTCAGCAAATAGCCTTCCCATGATAGTAAATGGGAAGCAAGAGGGAGATAAAAATAAAAGAAGAATATTTCAGGTAGAGGAAAAATATTACCAAACAAAGGGAAAAACTCATATTTCCGTCCACTAAAAAGCTTATAATAATTTATTAATTTCGAAATCAATATTTAGACCTCTTGGAATTAAAGTGCGTAACTTGAAAATCCACTTAGATTCTTTCAAGCCAAGAGCTCTAGATATATCTCCCCCTCTCCAATTTCTAACCACTTTTTCAATAGCAAAGAAACTTAAAGACCTAGGGTCCGAATCATGGTGTTGTAAAAAATGTCTTGACACACTATGATTCGGAAAACCTTTTTGATGTTTCTAAGGTGTTCATTGATTCTAGTCTTGAGCTGACGTGAAGTTTTCCCCACGTATTGGTATCCACAGCTACATTGCAAAAGATAGATGACATAGGTGGAGTGACATGTGATTAAAGATTTAATATGATACTCCCTCTTAGTAACTGAGGAGTTGAAGTTTTCCACTTTCTTATTGATTCTTAAAGTGTTACAACAAGCATGACAAGATCCACAATAAAAAAAAAGCCCTTTTGTTCTAATGTGCAGTTGCTTAAAAAATTCCTAGGGGCCTCTGTTTTAATAAAACTAGATGTCAACATTTGTTTTAGATTTTTAGCACCCCTAAATATAAATTTGGGTTTATTTCCTATATATTGTTTGATGTCCTCCTCATGCTGTAGGATGTGCCAGTTTTTGTTTATAATTTTTTTAATAGCACCAATGTTGCTAGAAAAATTAAAAATAAAAGGAATCTGTTTATTTTGTTGGCCTAAATCCTCTTTCTTTTTATATTGTAACAGAGGAGTCCTCTCCATTTTTCCAACCTGGTCTATTTTATCTTGCAGGTCATCTTCTACATACCCTTTCTGTATTAATTGATCTTTAAGAAATGTTGCTTGGATAATATAATCCTCTTTCTTGGTACAATTTCTACGTATCCTTAGAAACTGCCCTTTAGGTATATTATTTAACCACGGGCGATGATGGCAACAGTCTAGTTCAATGAAGCTGTTAACATCGACCTTTTTAAAGAAGGTCTTAGTCATCAAAACTTAATCCTGGATAAAAATATTGAGGTCTAAAAAATCAATACTATATTTACTCACACTCTTCGTGAGTGTAATTCCCCAGTCATTATGGTTGAGATACGTAAAAAACTGGAGGAAAGTTTCTTCCGACCCTTTCCAAATAATGAAGATGTCGTCTATGTACCTTTTGTAGAGGTCCAAGTTTGCGCCAAATTCATGTCCCTGGGACACGAAGGACTGTTCCCAAAAATCCATGAATAAATTTGCATAACTTGGCGCAAACTTGGTCCCCATGGCCGTACCTCTTATTTGCATAAAAAAACTCCTCCTCAAACCAAAAATAGTTGTTATGTAGGATCATACGTATTCCTTCCAAGATAAAATTTCTCTGTAACTCCCCATATTTATTAGATGCCTCAAGGTAAAAGTCGACAGCTTTACATCCCTTTTCATGCTGAATAATAGTGTAGAGGCTTGATACATCACATGTGGCAAGTAGATAATCATCTTGCCAACTAAAATCTTTTAAAATATTAAGTAGACTCATTGAGTCTTGTAAAAAAGCCGGAGTACTTCTTACTAGGGGTTGTAGATGGTAATCTATATATTGGGACAAGGCAGACAAAACTGAATCAATCCCAGAGACAATAGGACGTCCTGGAGGGTTGCTCATATCTTTATGAATTTTAGGCAATATATATATATAACAGGAAGTCTTGGATATTCTGGGAATAGAAAAGAGAACTCTTTTTTATCAAGAATGTAGTCCTCTAGACCCTTCTCCAGAAATATTTTAAGCTTACTTTTTATCTCTTCTAAAGGGTCCTTTTTGAGTTTAACATATGTGGTTATGTCTTCCAATTGCCTGTGTATCTCCTTTATATACCAATATTTGTCAAGAATAACTACTACGGAAATATGAGTTTTTCCCTTTGTTTGGTAATATTTTTCCTCTACCTGAAATAATGAGGATATGGACAGATTGCCCACTTTAAAGATGGCTACTTTAGTCCTACAGCACATTAACATCATTCCAAACATGGAAATTGAGAAGGGACATTGCCGATCCTCTTTCCAGCGAAACCGGAAGTGACGCGACGGACTGATTCCATCAATATGCGCGTCACCAGAAGTGACGCGACGGACCTATCGGACGAAACTCACAACATCCCCAAACATTAGGTCACCCACGATTTGATCATATCGTGCTGGTTGACTATGTTGGGGGGAGGATATTGATATATTTTACTTGTTTTGTGATATTTTGTGAATTATTTTAGTATGTATTGTACTAGTATTGTGTACTTCCGAACCGGATGTGGAGCCATATTGGAGGTGGCAGAACACATCCGGTTCGGACCATATAAGGCGATTGTACCCTAATTAGTGCTACATGTGTAGGGAATGTCTGTAATTATTATCCCAATACCATGCCCTATATATATAGCAGCAGGCTCATTGTAGCTTTGAACAGCACCTGAGGAAGACCACCTGATGGTTGAAACGCGTTGTGCAATACCTTTTATATTTGTTTTTATACAAATAAATATTCTTTTTATATATCCTGATTCTCCTGGCTCCTGACTCCAACTTTTCATCAGATGATTATTTAGATCATTGAAGGATTCGCCTGAAGAGTGAAGGAATGTGCATGTCCCACTTAAGTGACATATAAAGCTACATAAGTCCCGAGCCTACTTTAAACGGCTCAGCAAAGTGTGAGTGATTTTAGCTCATAATTTCCTTTTTATTGTGTTTTATATACAGACCACACTATGTTTTGTCTTGTGTTTGTATTTTCTGTATAGGCAACCCTACATTGTATTTACCTATTGTATATAAGGAGGAGTTACTTCTTACCAGTTATCTATAATACGTCAGATAACGACCTCCTTGCTCTGTGTGCTCTTTTACCTTTCCTATTCTTTACAGTATGGGTAAGGGCTCAATTATAGGTACAGTATGGGTATGGTTGGGGTATATTATAGGTACAGTATGGGTAAGGGGGTGTACAGTATGGGTACAATTGGGGTATGTTATAGGTACAGTATGGGTAAGCGGGTGTACAGTACGGGTACGGTTGGGTCATATTATAGGTACAGTATAATACGGGTACGGTTGAAGTATATTATAGGTACAGTATGGGTAAGGGGTGTACAGTACGGATACGGTTGGGGTATATTATGAGTACAGCATGGGTAAGGTGTATATATGTGATAGAATTTATCTTGATTCCAAGGCTCAAGCTTATAGGTGTCATATAATGATATCCTATATTAAAATTGGTTAACTTGGACTCAGGAAATGCTTGATGCTTAAACAACACTTAAGACCATATATGTCTAGTTCCGGGAGCAGAGTCCCCACCTAAGATGTTTCTTCTCTAATCTTTTAGTTTTTTCTTACCTTGGAACTTATTTGTTATGTGTACATGACATTCATCCCTATGTCTTATCTGTACTCCCTTCCTTTTACTGTTCTATGAGTATTTGCACATAAGCACTTACTTTTTAATGTATAAAACCCAGCTGATGATTAAAACATAGAAACATAGAAACATAGAAACATAGAAACATAGAAACATAGAATGTGACGGCAGATAAGAACCATTCGGCCCATCTTGTCTGCCCAATTTTCTAAATACTTTCATTAGTCCCTAGTCTTATCTTATAGTTAGGATAGCCTTATGCCTATCCCACGCATGCTTAAACTCCTTTACTGTGTTAACCTCTACCACTTCAGCTGGAAGGCTATTCCATACATCCACTACCCTCTCAGTAAAGTAATACTTCCTGATATTATTTTTTAAACCTTTGTCCCTCTAATTTAAGACTATGTCCTCTTGTTGTGGTAGTTTTTCTTCTTTTAAATATAGTCTCCTCCTTTACTGTGTTGATTCCCTTTATATATTTAAATGTTTCTATCATATCCCCCCTGTCTCGTCTTTCCTCCAAGTTATACATGTTAAGAGCCTTTAACCTTTCCTGGTAAGTTTTATCCCGTAATCCATGAACCAGTTTAGTAGCCCTTCTCTGAACCCTCTCTAAGGTATCAATATCCTTTTGAAGATACGGTCTCCAGTACTGTGTACAATACTCCAAGTGAGGTCTCACCGGTGTTCTGTACAATGGCATGAGCACTTCCCTCTTTCTACTGCTAATACCTCTCCCTATACAACCAAGCATTCTGCTAGCATTTCCTGCTGCTCTATTACATTGTCTGCCTACCTTTAAGTCATCAGAAATAATCACCCCTAAATCCCTTTCCTCATGTTGAGGTTAGAACTCTATCAAATATTCTGTACTCTGCCCTTGGGTTTTTAAGTCCAAGATGCATTATCTTGCACTTATCCACATTAAATGTCAGTTGCCTCAATTCTGACCATTTTTCTAGTTTACCTAAATCATTTGTCATTTGGCTTATCCCTCCTGGAACATCAACCCTGTTACATATCTTGGTATCATCAGCAAAAAGACATACATTACCATCAAGACCTTCTGCAATATCACTAATAAAAATATTAAAGAGAATGGGTCCAAGTACAGATCCTTGAGGTACCCCACTGGTGACAAGTCCAAGCTTCGAATATATTCCATTAACTACAACCCTCTGTTGCCTGTTACTCAGCCACTGCCTTACCCACTCAACAATATTTGAATCCAAACTTAAAGATTGCAGTTTATTGATAAGCCTTCTATGTGCAACAGTGTCAAAAACCTTACTGAAATCTAGGTAAGCAATGTCTACTGCACCACCCTGATCTATAATTTTAGTTACCCAATCAAAAAAATCAATAAGATTAGTTTGGCATGATCTCCCTAAAGTAAACCCATGTTGTCTCTGATCTTGAAATCCATGTGTTTTTAGATGTTCATCAATCCTATCCTTTAACATGGTTTTCATCACTTTCCCCACTACTGAAGTAAGGCTTACTGGCCTATAGTTGCCCGACTCCTCCCTATTACCTTTCTTGTAAATGGGCACAACATTCGCTAACTTCCAATCTTCTGGGACTACTCCTGTTAACAATGATTGGTTAAATAAATCTATTAATGGTTTTGCTAGTACACCACTAAGCTCTTTTAATAGCTTTGGGTGTATTCCATCAGGTCCCATTGACTTATTTGTCTTTACTTTTGACAGTTGAAATAGAACCTCTTCCTCTGTAAACTCACATGTAATAAATGACTAATTTATCCTTTTTCTCAACTGAGGTCCTTTTCCTTCATTTTCATCTGTAAATACAGAACAAAAATATTCATTGAGGCAGTCAGCGAGACCTTTATCCTCTTCTACATACCTTCCTTCTTTTGTTTTAATCTAACTAATCCTTGTTTTACTTTTCTTTTCTCATTTATGTATCTAAAAATGTTTTATCCCCCTTTTTTACTGACTGTGCTATTTTCTCTTCTGTGTGTGATTTGGAAGCTCTTATAACTTGCTTAGCCTCTTTCTGCCTAATCTTATAGATCATTTTGTCTCCCTCACTCTGGGTTTTTTTATAATTCCAAAATGCTAACTTTTTGTTTTTAACTATTTTGGCCACATCTGCGGAGTACCACAGTGGTTTCTTGAATTTTTGCTTTTACTGACAAGCCTAATGCAATTTTCTGTTGCCTTCAATAGTGCAACTTTTAAATAATCCCATTTTTCTTGGACTCCATTTAAATTGCTCCAGTCTGATAATGACTCCTCTACCCATATTCTAATTTTAGAAAAGTCTGTTTTTCTAAAGTCTAAAACTTTTGTTTTTGTGTGGTGTGACTCAGCCACTGTTCTTATATTAAACCACACTGACTGATGATCACTGGATCCTAAACTGTCACCTACAGTAACATCTGATACCAAATCTCCATTTGTTAACACTAAATCTAGTATGGCCTCTTTACGAGTTGGCTCCTCAACAACTTGTTTTAGAGACAATCCCAGTAGGGAGTTTAGAATATGTGCTCCTGGCACAAGTAGCTAATTTTGTTTTCCAATTTACATCAGGAAGATTAAAGTCACCCATGATGATAACTTCCCCTTCATTGTCATTTTAGCTATTTCCTCAACTAGTAGATTATCTAACTCTTCAATTTGTCCTGGGGGCCTATAAATCACACCTACACGAGTTACTGTGTGATTACCAAATTCTAACGTAGCCCAAACGGACTCTATATGTTTGCCTCACTAACTTTTATTAGGCTAGATTTTATGCTATCCTTCACATACAAGGCCACCCCTCCCCCTTTCTTGCCTTCCCTATCTTTCCTATATAAAGAGTACCCTGGTATTGCTACGTCCCAGTCATTTTTCTCATTGTACCTTGTCTCAGTAACAGCGACTAAATCTACACTATCAGTTGCCATTATTGCCACAAGTTCATGGATCTTATTCCCTAAACTGCGAGCATTTGTAGACATGACTCTAAGCTTATCATTTTTTAACACACTTGCTACAGGCACCTTCTGTTCTTGTTTTGGGGGACAATTGGATTGATGTTTTATCACCCTTTTGCCCCCCCCTCCTAGTTTAAATACATCCTAACAAAACCTCTGAACTGCTCACTGAGAACATTTGTTCCCTTTTGAGAAAGATGCAAACCATCTTTTTTGTACAGCTTATATCCATTTCAAACAGAGCTACCATGAAAAATAAAGCCAAATCCTTGCTCCGACACCATTCACCAAGCCACAAATTAAAGTCCCTAATACGCATCCGCCTGTCGTTCTGAGTGTTATGCACAGGCAGAACTTCAGAGAATGACAGTATGGAAGCAACCTGCCGTATATCATTGGCAAAAACACTAAAAACTTCCTTAACCTCTGAAACCTCATTGCAAGCCAAGTCATTTGTCCCTAGATGGACAAGTACATTCAATTCCCCTTCCTGCTTTGCTTGCTTAACAATATTACAGATACGTCTCCTGTCTCTGT